GCCCTATTGCAATAACACAAGCTTTCCAGTTTGATCGAAATATGTATATATATTAAGGAAATAAAATAGAGAATGAAAATTTGTAATGTTTTAATTATATATTTGTTGCACAAGAGGGCAATCTAGGGAATAAGTGCAGAAACAAAAGCCTGGTGTTTTATGTTGGTATATTATAATGAGAACGAGACATAGTTTTATAGTGCAATGTTTGACACTGTGGATAACTTGCTAATCAAATTATTTGATTCCTTTCCTACCAAATTAATTAACTTTACAATGTTACTTGTAACTTTGTCCAAACTCATTATTGTCACTTTCGCATTTTTATTACTGCACTTTATTCTTTTCATCCAGTTAGTTCTACAAGATCAAAAGCTAAGGATCAACTTTGCATCTAATTTGACAGCAAGCAACTAAATAATATAAAGTATAATGCTACTCAGACAGGCAAAAAACAGGCCCAAAAACAGGGGGCTGAGGCGGCTGAGGTGGATGCACCTCAACCCCCTGTTTTTGAATAAGTTTCCCACCCTGTTTGAGTAGCAGGGTTCTAATATAAACTAGGAATTTTAACAATATTATTCTTTTACATTTCAAGAGGACAGGAATAAAATTCTGTACAATTGAATCACACAACCATCCAATTTCTTTTTCACATATTTACGACAATTAAACATTTGGTGAACCCACAGGACAGTTTGATGAGAAAATAATTTGCTGGTCACGATCCATTGTCTCTCTAGTTTACAATAAAAATAAGTGAATAAGATGTTCGTTTATTTCCATGGCTAAGTGAATCTATGCAACAAATTTAATCGATTAAGTAAACTTTCTTCCTCACATTTTTTAGTAACCGTTACGCCTCGTCGTACAAAGCTCTTATTATTGGCAATATTACGGCCAATTAAGGAAACAACAAGAATCCACTGAAGGCCGGCAATCTACATAACTTTGCTCACCTGGCCTAATCGAAGCCATGAACAAAGGAAGCCGAGGTGAGCTAAATGCCCCAGCCGACCCGACAAGACGTGTGGAGGCCAAACCTCCATGTTCGAGGCGAATCATTATGATCGTATTTTCGAAGCTATGAGCCTTCATTTCACAAGTAATCTTTCATAGATTCACCTCATCAAAGAGATTCTTTGTACGATTAATCGATTTGACACATCCGCAGCAAATGCCTTTTAGTCAACTTTTCATAGAGTAGATCTAGGCTATATGGTGGCTACACTTAATACCACCTCAACTTAAGACAACAGAGGTGACGTTTATGAGGTTGATGCTCGATCGTTAAGATGAGGACACGTGCCATCATTCAATGTTAATCACATTTCATATTTTATAAAGTGAATTCATCTCATCCAACGGTAGTCACGACACAAATCTAAGTCCTTTAAATCCCTGATGACTAACTTAAAACATATATAAAGTGAATCTAATAATTTAATCAGATCATGAATTAGTAGACTTTCAATAAAATATTTGTTATGTATGATTTCCATGAAATTATTTCCAACAATATCTACAACAAATGTGTTGTACTACCCGTAATATGTAGTACCAAATACCTAGTCAAATCTTTAATTACAAATTCCAAGTCTTTCGTTTGCTTTGGATCCAAATGGGATTTTAAATACGACAATTCCCCTCATATAGGAGAAGTGTTGCCGGAATTGGATGGTTACTTTTTTATTGGGTTAATTTCACAAATGGTCACTAAAGTTACCTGAAAATCACAAAACGGTCACTGAAGTTTAAATTTCTTTCGCAAACGGTCACTGAAGTTTCAGATTTTTTGGGCAAGTTTTGCGATGATTTTCCGATAACTTCCGACCACCAAAACCGCTGGATTTGGATACCGTTGGAAAGCCCACAATGTCCTCTTCAATTACTACCAAAAATCTCCACATAATTCCAAGGGATTCGACAGAAATATACCCACGAAGTCGGCAATCGAAAAATCTTAAATTATCTGCCCAGGTTTTNATTCGGCCGAAATATACCCACGAAACCAGCTACCGAAAAATTTGAAAATCTGCCCTGATTTTCAGATTTTTTGGGCAAGTTTGCGGCAATTTTCTGGCAACTTCCGACCACCAATACCTTCGGTTTTGGATACCGTTGGAAAGCCCACAATGTCATCTTCAATTACCACGAAAAATCTCCTCATAAATCTAATGTATTCGACCGGAATAAACCCACGAAGTCAGCTACTCAAACTGGGCCGAATTCCTTGGAGTTATGGGGAGATTTTTGGTGGTAATTGAAGAGGACATTGTGGGCTTTCCAACGGTATCCAAATCCGGCGGTCTTGGTGGTTGGAAGTTGCCAGAAAATCGCTGCAAAACTTGCATAAAAAAATCTGAAAATTCAATGATCGTTTGTAAAAGAAATTTAAACTTCAGTGATCGTCTCTACAAGTTTTAAATTTCAGTGACCGTTTTGTGATTTTCAGGTAACTTCATTGACCGTTTGTGAAATTAACCCCTTATTTATTTATTTATTGGTCAAGGTTTAATCAGATGCTACCAGGTGTCCCCTATAAAAATCTGGCAAAAAAAAAAAAAAATCCAGCTCTTTTAAATATTTGTGTTTGACGTCCTTTTCAGATTTCAAAGGCCGTAACCAATTCTTCTAGAGTTGAGTTGGAAAAAATCAAATTGCTTTGTAACTGGGCAATTATTTTTTATGCAATTAATTTAACTAATCAACGAGGACGTATTCAAACTTTAATTGGATATTCCAACCATTAGGGTTAGGACTTGGACAAGGGCATGTTTGACTAAGTTAGTTTGCAAACGTTAATGTTGCTTCNATTTTATGAAAAAATGTGTGATTGAAAATGAGTTTGGAAAAAATGGGACTCAAACAAATAAGCTATTATTCTAACTAAAGTCAAATTTTACTCTATAAAAAAATACTAAAAGAAAATTAAACTAAAAAGGGCATGTTTAGACATTAGGGTTAGGACTTGGACAAGGGCATCTTTGACTAAGTCAGTTTGCAAACGTTAATGTTGCTTCTAAACATGTTTAGACACATAATTTTTTGTTATTTATAAATAAAATTTTACATATTTGACGGTAAAGTATGAGTTAACTCTAAAATAAGTAATTTATTGTAACTTAGACCAACAAAAAACCTTATATGTTTACTTGAAAGTACAATTTTGAACTTAGCCAAACATGGACTTGAATGGAAAGAAAATATAAGAAATTTCATTGTTGGTCACCTAACTCACAGGTTTGTTCGTGTTGGTCATCCAACTTACAGTTTTATTTCATTTTGACCATTCTATATTTCTGACCCATAACTTATAGATTTGGCAAACACAATTTTTTTCTATGTTCTACAAACACAAGATCTATATTTTTCTTGTCATGGAAAAGCAAGTATTTTATGGTGATAGATAATACGTCCCTCTTTGGTATTGATTTAAATCATATTTTAATCGAATTTAAAGTCAAACAATCAATATTAACCACATATTTTTTGGGTTCCATAACTTTTTAACCTCACATGTCAAAAATTTGTATCAAGATCTACTAAAAATCTAATTTTAACCCCCCATCAAACACGGCCTACATATATAGATATTGGACCTATCTCACGTCCCATTAATCACTAGTCAAGTCACTAATTCTACAATTTTAGGAATTGTTACATATAGAATAGTCAAATTGTTATCAAGAAAATTAGGTTGTGGAAAGGAAAAAACTCTGTCATTGGAAGATTGGGAGGAATGGAAAATGATATAGAAAATTGACTTCTTAGCTTGTTCAGTGCAACTTCAACCATTTATTTCCAAACCATCTATTGTCTAAATTAACCAAAAAAAAAGTTAAAGATAGGAAAACAAGGACATGTTTGGTACGTTGATTTATGAAGATAATTGAAGAAAGAAATGTGAAAAAAAAAAGTTTATTTCTTATAGTGTGCATTAGTGAAGTGTAATTTATTAGTGAAAATTTCATTAATTATTTCGTTCATAGTTTCCAGGTTTGATTTTACTAACAAGCAACTTTTTAGTAAATTTTGATAAAAATTGACTAAATTCATGATTGAAAAGTTCACAAAAATTGTGAATTATATGCATTTATAAAATTACTTATTTATTTTGACACAAATTTTTATCAACTTTTAAGCAAAACCAAACAAAGACTTACTAACCAAACAAGCCGTATATAATTATAAAAATGAAAAATTAAGGACCTAAACCATGGTTGATGAAATTATCGAAGTTAGTATCGTTACATGTACGAAGCCGACAAGTAAGGCCACGCAAAACGTTGACTTAAAACTCTCTCTCTCTCTCTCTCTCTCTCTCTATAGTGTTATCCATTTATCTATATAGATTCTACACTGAACTCAAAATTTCTTTGGTTTATTCAATTCATTAAAATCATCAAAATGGATTATCGTACATTGGAAATCAATGTCATGTCTGCAGGGGATCTAAACAAAGTCAACCTCATCACGAAAATGGACATGTACGTCGTCGTTTCAATCTCCGGCGGAGACAAGAAATCGAAACAGAAGACAAAAACGCCGGTGGACAACGATGGAGACAGCAATCCCACCTGGAATTTTCCTATGAAGTTCACGGTGGAGGATACGGCGCTCCAGCAGAACCGCCTAAATCTTGTGTTCAAGCTTGTGTGTCAGCGAGTACTTGGGGATAAAGACGTTGGTGAAGTGCACGTGCCGTTAAAAGAGCTTCTTGAATCTCCGGCGGCTGCCGGCGGAGGCGGCGATGGGAAGCAGCAGAAGTTTGTGAGTTATCAAGTGAGGAAACCCAGTGGGAAGCCCGAAGCCTAAAGGGGAACTTACTTTTTCATACAGGTTTAATGAGAAAGTTGCCGGTCGATTTGCGGCGGCGCCACCAGTTCTGCCGCCTGTTGCGACAAAAGTTGAAGATGATAAGCCTGTCACCGCTTTTCCAGCGAATCCGATGATGGCGGGACCCAGTTCTATGTATCCTCCGCCACCGCCTATAGGGTATCCTCCTTATCCAACTGCCGAGGGAAATGAGCAGTATCCACCCCCGCAGCCGTCGCCCGGAGGATATCCTCCGCCGGGATATGGGTACCCACAAACACCACCACCCTCTTATGGTGGATACCCGCCAGGATATGGGTATCCCCACCCACCACCACCACCGGGGTATGGCTATGCGCCGCCGGTGGTACAGCCACCACCAANGCTGCCAAGCTTATTTCGTGTATTTCTATAATGTAAGAAAGTTGTGAAATGATTTTATATCGTCAAAATGTTATTAGATGATTAATTAGAATGGGAGAATCATATATATTGGTACAAATTAATTCTAGCATAGCCCTTAACTCGATTTTATTAATTTTACTTCTATACATTATGTTCAAATGCTCAAAGATTGAGAACTAATTAGTCAAAGAAGACCATGACTAATACATGCCTCTTGCTTGATGAACATTAGTGACGAAGACATCATAAATTGGTTCACGAGCATTGCTACTATCCTGCGTCTCATCATAGAGGTTGCAACAATTAATAACTACCTCTAAACGATTATGGAACACCATAGTCTGCGATTTTCGCCTAGATCCACAAGTAAAAATAAAGTTTATTGACATTACACTAAAAAAATATATGCTTTTGTGATGCCTGAAATTCTAGTAAATCGTGAAAGACTTTTCACGATGGTTAAAAAGACACCCTAACATCATGTATTATAGTTATATGTCGCATTTCAAGATAGTTATTCAATTTGGCGCTAGTCTCTAAAACATTTCCCTTCACGACAATTCTTTATTTTCTTACCAACTTCAAAGAAAAAAAAAAGGATGGTTATTAAGGAACAATAATAATTAATGTTATAATTAAGGGTTCGTTTGGCTTTTGAAAATTCAAAAGTTATTTCTGAAACTAAAAAACTACTTTAAAAAGAATTCGAATAATTTTCTGAAAGTATTTTGCTTTACTATAGACAAGATGTTAATTGATGATAATTAGGATTGCTCAGTAGGGAATACAACTAGTAATTACTCTCGCAAATGCAGATCCATAACCTAAGCCCACTTTTTAAATAATTAATTAAGTTATATTAGAAAAAGATAAAACATTTAATTGCATGTGATTTTGGATCTCAAGAAATGTAAACCCATCAAAGTCAAAGACGTATGGTCGAGTTTGAAATTATCAGTGGCTCCTATTGGATAAATAAATATTAAATAGTGAGAAACCAAAATTTTAATAAATATTAATATATATTTTTAGTGTAATGTCAATAAACTTCATATTTGATTCAGAAATTTTGAATATTTTAGAAGATTAGCACAAGGATTTTCTAGTAAATGTTGAATTGAATGGTGCGTCATTTTTGCGGAGAGAAAGAGTAGCTCGTTTTATTAATATATTTTTCAATTAATTAGGATCTTCAAGGTTGGAGGACGAAGTTGGACACTCAAGTTAAGGTCTACCGTGATGTAAGTATTAGTTGTTTCTTAGATGTGTTTTATTTTATAAATTTAATTACATATCTTATTGACCTCAAAATGGTTTATTTGCCCTCCTCTCTATTCTTAATTTGGCGGTTAATATGTTGAGTAATATATGCACAAGAGGCTTAAAATTTTGCCAAACAAGACAAGTGGCTAATTAAATTTTAAGCTAAGAGATCCCTATGTAATTTCTGCTGCAAGCTTGCGAATAGTTTCAGGATAGTTTCAATTAAAGGTATGGTCTCTGTTTCTTCTATAATCATAAAATCTGATGCTAAAGATTGTAAGTAGAATATTGAAAACTTTTATGGACATGGTATAAGTATTATTATGCTTGCACTTGGCCCATCCTCTACCGCATCTACAATGACAAACAATTTCTTATTGGTGTCTTACTGATTCCTCCCTAAACCCCTTGGGGGAAATCCTTGACTCGACCTAAGAAGCTTTGGCATCACTTGGGACACTAATTCGTTAAAGGTTAGGACTTGAACGTGTCAAGATAAACTATAATGAAAAGAGAGTGCCTTTGATTGGAACTTTTGGTATTGAATTTTTGAATTCTACAAATAGAGTACATGACACATCCAAACCCTTATTTTTAGAATCTACTACGGTTATTCCTATGTTCTTTTATTCAAATGATGTCCTTTTCCTACTAAGGGACTCTCAAAAGAGATATGAAATATTTCCGACAGATAACTATGCCCCTATTATGTTGGCAAAAAATTAGATTGCGTTCTCTTTGCCCTTTTCGGGCCATTTTCT